GTAATTAATATATATGGGTRTGATTTCGTGCGATACATAATCAACAAAAAACAAAAGTAGAAAAAAAATCCAAAAACCACATAAAAATATTTTCACTTCAGACTCTCAACAAGTTCCGCAGTAATTTGTCGGYAATGTTYTTRTATGAATGTGGTTCTTGAGAGCCAAGTGTTCTCGATCACGTTTCGAGTGAAGCATGAGAAATCATTCGAAAAACACTTATGGACAATGGGGTGTTTTATCAAATGATTCGACCGTTATGATTTCAAATACCACTTAGGATGTCTATACTGTTGAATAACACAAGCTGTTTTTTTGTTATATTGATTCTAAGTAGTCCTTTGAAAGAGTCTTTGAGGCTCAGTTATAACCATGTATAGTGCTACTTCACTAGCGTGAGTTGAAATAAACAGTCCGTGTGAGTATTATTGATATTGGACCTACGTAGGATCACGAATGGTGTATATTATATATCTACAATGTGTTATTGATCGTGGCCAGTTTATAGTTAAACAAAGTTATAAGTTGTTGTTAAAACAAGACACTTTGGAGAACCCAGCGGGAGTCCTTTGATGATAATCAAACCAAAATATCAAGGCTCGCAATATGCTTCCATATTGGACTGGAAAAAATAGCCTCCAGCAAGTAACACCACAAATGAGTTTTGCACGAGCTAGAGATTGCTGTACTCGGTAATTTAGATGGATTAATTTGACAGTTTTTATAAGATGTTTTGGTTTAATATGACAGTAATAATTCTTTTTGATATTTTTGAAACTACAATTAGCGTGAGATTGGATAGTGAATATCATCTCGTTCAGAATTCATACTTCAGTCTAATTGATACTGTGAATCAAGGGAACTTTAATTATTATATCATCAGCTGTGATTCATGTTTGATAGTTCCACCCCAGAATGTTGATTGTAATGTTATCTTGGAACAAGACTTGATTGGAAACGGAACTGAATCAGTTTTACCTGATATAAAAACCGAGCAAACAGTCGACCCCCCCCCCCCCCCCCCCCCCCCTTGACATCCCTTACTGGTATAAAAATCTTACAACGGAATCCACCAAGTTGCGTTCACGATCCAAATTTATGASCTTGTGTTATTTTGAAAGAGCCATTCCCACAGGCACCCCATCAGTGAAATMAAATGGAGTGGAATTCAAATAAATACAATAATGGACAAGTATATGGATGCTAGATAGTACCTTAGGGTTTAATGAATTGATTTATAAAAGGATGCATGCTATACCTCCTGAATGGAAGAGAAATGGAACAAGGAATCTGAAAGGAAGGATGAATGGATGAGTCGATGAATGATTTATAGATGGTTGATCCATGATGAGAGATACATCATAAATAGTGATGGCTCGGTACATGGAATCGATAAATAACAAATTCRATTTTGTGGATAGGCATAATACTGTTCAGCTTGCATACACCTTCACATAACAGAACTTACAGTGAAATACATAGAACTGAGGGTTTTTATTCTGCAAGTCACAGTTTACATCTTTTTTCAGACACCATTAGCCTCGTGCMTGTTATATTGTATCTAAATTCTAGGAAGTCATGAAACAAAAAGGTCTACATTTGGGWAATAGGAAGTAAGAGAAAGTACAACTTTTATCGATGGGAAAATCGATTTTAATGGGATGAGTATATTAGTGGTGCATTCCAAATTGTTAGTGCCTCAATATACGTCCTAATCTAATTTCCATGAGATTCTTGATAAGTGGAAAAACTTTGCTCAAGTTAACGAAAGGTAATAGTGATTAATGGGCCTTTTTAATAGCATAAGACAAAATGAATTCATTGATTAAAGGTATAGTTGATATTGGTGGCATCGATGCTAAGTGGGTGTGCACGGATCCTTTAGGCTGCGACGACAAAATACTTTCAATTACTTGCAAATTGAAYTGAATGATTTTCAATGGTTTTGTCGGAAAAACCAGAAGTAATGAAGATCTTATCAAAGGGTAAAACTACCGAMCATTTATCACGGAGTGTCACATGGATAGGTGGACCTTCTTCTCGACCACTCGAGTTAATGTTTTCCATTTCAAGCCAAAACGCTAATACATCGTCTTGTGGCTTTTATTAAAATTTTGGGAAATTAAATTCATTAAGCACCTTTTTAAAAGTTTGTTTGCTTGATTTTTAAAGGTTGTTTGCTTAAGAGGATTTGACAGTAATCAATAGTGATCATATTGGAGAAATCTCTTCACCACTAAAACAATATGTGTATGATCACAGAAAGGGATCATCAATCTTTCTCATCATACAAGACGATAACAACCTTTAATAGTGGAAAACACCGTCACTATAAACTCAAGAGGTCTTTGCTTTTTGTTAGTTTGCAGTCTTGTTTTGGCGCTTTTTCCAATTCGCTCAACCGCCGTCTCATTTCATCAAGATTGTCCTATTGTCTTGCAAAAGCTTTTTTTGCCTTGTCCAACTCTTCGCATTCTAAGAGAACCACTTCTTGGCACTCGAATTTTTGTTTTGATTTTGTGCTGTTTGTGTTTTTTTGTTTTGTTTTGTTTTGTTTTGTTTTCACTTTTTACCATTGAAGCCTTCATTGTGTTTGTGTCTTCTTTACTAAACTTGTGTATTTATTACATAAAGAAAACTAATTCATGAGTAACTACGGAAGCTCTTTAGAGGCCGTTTCACCTGATGAGCTTTACTAAAGCACTTACGTACTATGAATTCAAATCAAATCTTGAATTGAAAACACTTTCGCTCTTTCTCAATCTCGTGCGTTTCCGTTGGTTCTTGATCACTGGAGAATTCTCGAGGAGAACTGTTATACTAGCAACAAAACAATTACGAGAAGTCATTAATCGTCGGTGTTGGATTCGACTGCACCAATCAAAACTCGAATTCAATTTGCAAAGAAAACTTGATTTGGTCGTTTAAGAGAACAAGGCCATGAGCAGRGAATTATCAGAATGGATAGTTATATATATTTACCATACACATTAAAAGTCTCACTAACACCTCATCGACAACTATTTAATAATCCCAGTAGTTTCGTTGTTTTTTTTGKAAATACCGCGGTTTGATGTCGACTTTAGTCAAACTAAACAATGATTCYTATAGGTTTTAAAAAGCTTTGAGTGTTTTTCTCTTAATTATAAAAGTATTGAGGAAGTTTTAGGTAATACAACTATCTAATTTAAGATTGTAATGATGTTATTTGACATTCTGTGTATTTTGTAAAAGCAAAACAGTGGGAATCATAAAGAGCATCATTGTACTGACACAGCAGGTGAATTATACCTCCCTGTATACAATCTCTATTGTACTAAACGACTTGCCACTTCGTATCACTGTCAATGTATTTTGAGCTCTGTGAGAGATCCGCCAAAATAAGAGACATTTCTTGAAGGCAATCTGATACTGCGCTTACAGGTCGTGTATTTGAGAAATCAGAAAGATCTCAGTTATTGAATTCCCTAACCTATGCATCGACGCGKCGCAAATCGAATCCCGGAGCGCGTTGCTGTGATGTGCGATCAATAGGCAGACAATATCAAGAGTTTTTGCACTAAACAATTACGCTTATATTATTCCACAAAACCTAATACTCTCCGAGACGTATTTTGTCTATAAATGTGTACTGATATCCATTAAATAGCTACAAAGGTTTTTGTATTGTTAATATTTTTTAAAGTTAACTTTTTCAGCTTCACGCCAAGCGTGAAGATATACATCCAATCTCCTTATTATAATTGTATTGTTACTCAAGTAATCGAAGATCAGGAGTAGTAACCAGTTGTTGTTTGCTTTCGCCATTGATCAAATGAAGGAAGCCATTGAACTCTTCAGAAATGCACTTGTAAAAGCGTTATGTCTGGCATTGTAGTCATTGTACAAAAAAAAA